CAGCAGCATTGGATCAGTTCAGTTGTGCAGCATTGGATCAAAACAAAATAAAGCTTATCAGTACTCGTTAGCTTACTGCTACAATTAGACACTGCGCCCACTCTGTTGCCAGATTTGAGAGAAATAAGCAACCAGGTCTATGAAAACAAGCCCCAAAGAAGCAACACATACATGATGTTGTGTAATTTGAAACTAAAACTAAGGCCTCAGGATGACTTTAAGACTTGAACATGGTCATTTTTGTTTTGTAACATTGAATAAAAAAAAATAAAAAAAGTATTTAAAAAATAAAAAATCCCGATCCCCGATTTTTTTCTCCCGATTCCGATCTTTTGAAAATCACGTGATCGGCTCCGATCCCCGATCACGTGATCGGATCGGGACATCTCTAGTAAAAAGTAAATCTTGTACTGTTGACATTTAGAATTGTTCTGATTGGCGTCATAAGCTTTTCGATTAGAACTCTGCACACTTCAATGAGGAAAGCACTTAAAATCCACTATTTTGATATATCTAATGTGAAAATGACAAACATTGTTCTGACAGGATCTTGCTCATGTTCTACTTTTGGCTTTGACTTTTGAATTATGTTAGAAACTATCGCTAACAGCCAGAGCCTGCAAACAATCTTTATTCAAAACAGGTGATAAAAACACTTACTTGACAACAATTGAGCCAACATTTGAGTCAACATTTGAGCGAGCAGCTAGCGGAAACTGTGCTTAGTATGTCAACGTGTTGTTTGTAGTTAAGAGCATAATCTAAAAGGGACAGTTTTAAAAATGAGATTTGGGTCACGACTCAAGCCACTAAGCATCGCTCTCCCCGATCTGACTGATGATGTGTAACTCCAACAATGTGACCGCACAGGGCACGGAGATATTAATGATGTCAGTAAAAGCACCTCTCCCGATCCCTCACACAAACGCTTCATCTGCTTCTTCGCTCAGGCCTGAGTCAGAGCGGGGGGATGAGCTCAGATCCAGCTGGATGCTGAGGCAAGCTTTAAGTCAGTCAGTCTGTGCCCCCCCCCTCCCCCCCGGCCCAGAGCAGCTCAACACTGAACGCACTGCCAACTCTAACATGGCAGCCTGTTACCAGTAAATCAGAACTGCTCTAAATTGGCAAAACACTCCTGAGAAGATGCAATATTTCATCATGTTTCCAGCCGGATTGACAGAGGGGGAAACAGAGGTTGTTTACTTATTCTGCAAATGAAATTAGAAATGTGTGTGGAAGTAAAACAAAACGCTACAGTACACGGACTTCTGCGAGCTGGCCCCGCTCTGACTGGGTCGGCTTTAAGCAGATTTATGGTCTCCGGTGGGGGAACAGGGGGATTTGGGGTCCAGAACTAAATCATGACTACGAGGAGCTAATTAGGAGCAGTAAGGGGACAGTGTGTTTTCAACCACTGCGCATTGTGCCACATACAAACTGCCTCTTTTTTACCTTACATGGTAGCAGTGTGAAGCGTTTTAAAATTCACGCTGGGGTTTTGTTTGGAACTCGAGTGCTGATTCACCTCCAAGTTGGATTTTCTGGTGTTTATTAAGTAGCCATCTGGGCAGCTTTCAGTAGGCAGAGTGGTACCCAGGGGGCTCAGGGCTACTGGCTGTTCATGGTTTTGACAAATGTTTAATGTGCTCTGGGACTCATCCCTGCATAATTTCTAAATGGCAAGGGGCCTCTTCTCAGCTCTGCCATCTGACTGAGAGGAGTAGTTTTTATTTGCACTGTGACAGATCTTTCGAACCTGCTGATTTTCTAGAGGGAATAAAACATGTCAATCAATTACACTTTATTCTGCTATTTTTTTTAACAATAGCAAATACAAAAATGGGTGAAATTACAACAAGCCGTGAGTGCTTACAATACAAATAAAAAGGTATTGATTGCATGTCAGGCTCTGAAGAGTCTGTCCCCACCTCTGGCACTAACCAGGCAGCATGTGTTGCTAATTTGCAAGCAGTTGATGTTGATTAGCTGGGTTATGACACCCTGCGACCTCGGCTGTAGCCAAGTACATAGACACGCATTCTCCAATTAACCCCGTGGCGGTCGGCTATCAGGCTTTACGGGGCCATAAGAGGGACTTATGTGAAAAGTCCACAGGGATTTAGTTGCACCCTCACACACACAGAGGAACACCCACATGTACTGAACAGTTGCACACACGAAATGCATACTGGAAGAAGTGATACTGTTATATATTCACGTATTTACACTGATCATTTCAGCAGCTGCTCTAATTTAACTTCACAATAAACTCTTCCTCTAATGAGGTGTGCAGCATAATATGTTCTTTTGCACATTAGAAGTTTGGCTACTCCCAGATGAACTGCTAGTATCTCCTCATTTGAACTCATAACAAAAAAAATTGTTCTTGGGTACCTTTATTTTTGCATGCATACTGTTTGCCGGGAGGGTGAAGTAATTCAATCTGTCAGGTGGAGTAATGGTGTGAAAGAACAAGAACATAAGGCCAAGCACCACCTGATACCACCTGCTTCTTTACTTCACCTGCTGTGTGTAGTAGTGGCACTTCAATATATAAATGCAACAACTTCTGTCATAAGAGTTTCTCCAGGTTATATTCAGTCTTCTGTCGCTAAAGCTTCCCTCGATGGTGTGCCTCTAGTGCTTTTTATCAATCTAGATTGTTTTCGTGTGAGTTTCCAGGTGTTTGAGATATGGTCTGTAAAGATGTCTTCCTGCTAATGTATACAATTAAATAAAAAATACTTAAAGGGGCCCTATTCAGCTTTTGGGGGTTTTCCTCTCTCATCCATTGGTAGATGTAATAATCCTCCTGTGCAATGGTACAGTACATCTGGATTATTTTGTATTAACCGTGTGAGGATTTTTTAAAGTTTGAAAATGTATTTTTAGCTCTAAAAGCCAAGTGACGCTGATATTTCCAACCCTTAGTATAGCACAACAGGTAAGAGGAAAGTGTTGTTGTTTTTTTATCTTAGGGTAGATAGTATCTTCAAAAAATAGAAAGAAATTGTTTTTTGATGCACATTAACCGTCTCATCAGTCCAAATGGTTTCCAGTGTTTCGCTCGGTATAGAGAGGCGAAGTCCCTCCCTTTCCGGGGGAGCTCCATGGGACCTTATTTTGGAAAAAGTATGTATTGAAGTCAATGGAGAGAGAAAGATTAACTTTCGATTCCGTTTGAATTGTGCCACGAATTACAAATATGATGTTTGTCAATTTAAAAGATAATTTTGCAAGTCAAAAAAATTAAAATGTGTCGTAAAACTGTGAAGTAAGACTTTTTTTTGTGTGAAACCGCTCAATGAACTACATCTCCCGTCTCGCACCACACTCCAAGACGGCTGTCACGTTGGCACATTTCACTTCTTTCTTTCAGAATGAGGCGAAAAGTATTAAAAGAGGTGAAAATCACTACAAGTCTGGGTTTGTTGAGAGCCGTACATACACACAAGGGGAGTAAGTCGGTTCCGTAACGGCCCCTACACACGGCGGAGTGCGTTGCCGCTTGGCAGTGGGCGTGTCTTGAGCTTGGGGAGTTTACGCGACCAACAACCAATCACATGAATCTCTCCTGTCAATTGCATAAAAGGTTTTACATGTCACACTTTATATGATGAAAATGTATGACATTAATGTCTATGGTGCTATTTTACGCAACAATCCATGCTGGCTAAATACTGTCTATGCCTGCTAGCTGTCCATTCAAACGAAGTACACTGGATATAAACTCCCCAAACAGGCGAAAACCTACCAGTTTCACCCACTGTCTCTGCCACCTCCCTCCATGCCTGGCTCCTCCGGTTTGTATCCCGGGAGGTGAACAGGGACTGATCATAAAGCACCGGGTGATTCCCTACCGCTACGATTATTTTCTCCTCCATTTTGAACTGCGGTCTGGCTCTCCTAGCATACACGCGGTTTGATTGGCTAGCGCTTGTACTGGCAGATTTGCATAAATGGGATTTGATTGGCTGACGCCTCCGTCGAAGCGTCAAAAGTAGAACATTTCTCTACTTTTGCAGCGAACACCGCGAAAGAAGCTACGCTTTGCTCCCACAATGCAGTTCGGCGAAATGTGACGTCACCCCATTCAAAGTGAATGGACAGAAGCGTTGAAGAGTCAACGCACGCCGCCGTGTGTAGGGGCCGTAAGAGCCAGCATGCGGGACCGGCTTGACAAGGTTTCGGTGAGTAACACGAGTGTAATGTGTAACGTTAATGACATCACTTACGCGACTCGGGGATTTGTAGTCTTTCTAGTTGCGTATTTTTCATTGTCTTATATTTCAACAGTTTTACGACAAACTGTGACTTTTTTGACATGGAAATGATTTTTTAAGATTGAAAAACATCATATGTGTAATTCGTGGCACAATTCAAACGGGATCGAAAGATAATCTTTTCTCTCTCATTGACTTCAATACATAATTTTTCCGAAATAGAGAGCCGCAGTGACGCGTCCTTAAACCCGGAAGTAAACTTCTTCCGGTTCCTTCGTCTAAAACGCAATGCAATTTCTCCATAGGATTTTGGAAAATAGCTCGAAATAAGGTCTGTGGTTGACACATATTTAAGAGATGGATCACGTTTTGTTCAGCCGGATAATATCCACATGTCAACCCTANGACAAACTGTGACTTTTTTGACATGGAAATGATTTTTTAAGATTGAAAAACATCATATGTGTAATTCGTGGCACAATTCAAACGGGATCGAAAGATAATCTTTCTCTCTCCATTGACTTCAATACTTAATTTTTCCGAAATAAGGTCCAATGGGTCGGAAGTAGAAGGGCGGGACTTTGCCTCTCTATGTATAGCCTATGGTTTAACTCATTTTCATCTGCATTACTTGCACATTATTCTGCAACATAATCTGCACTGTTCTATTCTACTCTGTTTCTTCTTCCACTATTTTTATTCTTTAATCAGTTTTATTGTTTTAAGTCTTATATAACTAGATTGCATTGTTGGAGGAGCTCGGGACTAAAGATTTTCATTGCCATTTCTACACTGTAGCTCGTGTGCATATGACATTAAAGCCTTTGAATCTTGAATCTTTCAATGGTGTTAGTTGCTAGCTTACGGCTTTCTACGAATATAGACAGAACATTAGATCCTCTACCTGTTTCTGATGTTTTGAGAAATATGCTAAAGCCAATTTGGTCTGTAACATTCAGAGGTCACAGCAAGCCAAGAAATAACTTGGCAAAATAGGTGGAAACAGACAGTGAAAGGGGGAGACTGAAATAGATAAGAAACTCATATCCCCACGTTTATCAAACTCATACATCCTGGAGGGTTGCAATGGTCCTGAAAATAGGCAGATGAAAATGTTTTGTAACTGTGCTCTTGCCTGTGAGTAGTCCAGACACATTTTGTGGACATTTGACAACCTGTCAGAACACACACATCGTCCAGTTTTCATTTACAAACCAGAGGTTGAAAGACTGTCAAGTTACCTTCTTATTCCATACATCTGACGTGTAGAGAACTATAAACTATATTCATTCTAGAGCCCAGAGCTGGATATAGAGGCATAGAAGCTACATAATGAACATTACAAATACAGGAAACATCATAAAACTGCAAATCTTCATCGGAACTTCACACACGGACCCTTTTGAGTTCAGACCTATAAGAAGAGAAAAAATAAACATTAACGGCAAACTGTCCTTTTTGATTAACACTTACATTTGCAATCTAAATGTGTATCATACAGATTACAATATGTGAATGTGTTCTTCCTTTAGGGATGCATTGTCCAAGACCGACTAGAGACCACAGAGTAATCTAAGTAATTTGTTAAATTGATGTAATCAAATATCCGCAACATGTTGGCCTCACCCAGCGATTCAAAGTCATCTAGATTTTGTTGCAATCTTCACTTAATAAGACTTCTGCTTTCATGTTGATGAGGCCGTGTCTACTTCGGCATAGAACTACAAAAACAATATATGCCTATTGAGTAGAAATCAGGTTTTTCCAAAAATGTAAAACTTTAATTTGTTTAGATGGAAATAGACGTGGTGTGTTTGTACAGAAATTAGTTAAAATCAAGAAAATCCGGAAAAAAAAGTTATCGCCAATTACATGATTAAAATATCATAATGATTTTTTAAAAGTTTAAAGGTCACCTATTATGCAAAATCCACTTGTTCATGTCTTTTATTCATCAACATGTGTCCCCTCTGTGTAAAGAGACTCTGAAAGTTTCAGGAACAAAGATTCTCTCTCTTTTTGTCCTGATCCATTTCTATAAAAACCTGTCTGAAAATGAGCTGATCAGATTTTGGCCACTTTATGATGTCATAACGATTTTCTGGCTTGTGTAACCATTAGCCAATCACCAACCAAGGTANGAATTCTCCTCTGAGAGCACCATTGTGTTATTTTGACCAATCTCTCGTCAAGGGGTGTGGAGGGGGAGGGGCTCCTTATTTTCCATCATAAGTAACAGGAGGAGGAATCCAGCACTTTGGAAACAGGCTGGAAACAGGGGGGGGATTATGGGTAAAGCTGCAATGATCTGTTTGGTGTTCGGAGCCAAACACTTCAGAGACATGTTTCTATATATATCTGAGACCTATGATATATTGATGAAAAACAGTATAATAGGGGACCTTTAAAAAAAAAAAAAATGAACTATGGAAACATACTTTTGTTACAATACCTAATTTAGCCTTAATTGATACTAAAAGCTGTTTCTACTTTGACAAAATGTGATTTTATTGTGTGCCCTGGGACAACAAAGTGAAAACCTGTCCTGAATGGAGCAGTCTTATTTTCTACATGTGTATTCTGAAGGTCTTGTTGAAGCTACGCTGAAGCTGATAACAGCATCAGTCACACGGGGGATTAGTTGCACCCAGTGCACCCATCCCTCTGCTTCTCTGCTTAATTCCAACTCTAATCATCTGCATGCTGCCGAGTCTTTACAACTTACTGGACATCTTTGGTATGCGAATGGGCCCGCTGCTGGTGCCATCGCCCCCTTCAGTCAGAGCTTTGATCTCAATGAGGTAGTCCTCTCCGGAGGGGATGTGGAGCTCCACACTGGTCTTATTGGTTTCCAGTACAGAAGTCCTGCTGTGCCAATTCTGACGATACACCACCTGGAGGGGAGTCGGAGCCTTTCAATTAACATTTCATCTTTGATTTCAGTTGGAAAATACAACTTGATGACCCCATCCCACAGGCCATAAGACTGTTAAAACACCTGCACTTTTGAAAGAACTTACAAAGACACTTGTTTTTACACTGCTATGGACAATCTGCAATAAATGCACATTTTATGGACAATCTTGCACCTAAAGAAACTGTTATTTTGTATATATTGATTTTGTGTTTTTTTATCTTAATGTGTGCATATGTGTAAATGTGTCTGTTGATTGTGCATATAGGATAAACATATTATTATACATATCTGTATACTGTATAATTTTAACTTCGGGATGGTTGGAAACGTCATTTCGGTCTCTCTGTCTGTAAACACAGACAACTCACAAAAACACTATTCTGCACAGTTTCTATCATATTCTGTTAGTATTATATTATATGTTATTGTATTTACTTGTACTATTTTATCTGATTTATCGTGTTGCACTGTTGGAGGAGCCTGTGACCTAAGAATGTCATTGTCATAGCTACACTGTAGCTATGCACACATGACAATAAAAGCCTTGAAGCTTGAACCATAGCAACTGCATGAAGGACTTCATTCGACAGTCCAAATATGTGTGTGGGAAATTAATTAATTAGAAATCAAATCAAAAGCAGGAAAAGTGTGTGTAGGGAAATCTGAGGTTACACAGTCCCTCTATAGGAGGTATTGGATTTAAAATGCCTTGTGAGGTGCAGGTTTGATTCAAAGTGCACAAACATAGTTTCATAACTGTCAGGGTTTGAGTTTTTGTGTGTCTAGTTTTGGGGTTATTTTGCTGCTCCGTCCTCCCTGTCGTTAGTTTCCCTGGTGTGTCTAGTTGTCTGATTGTGTTCACCTGTTGCCCTTGTGTTTCTCCTCCCCTGCCCGGCTGTTTCTCGTCTCGTGATTACCCCTCTCTGTATTTAGTCTCTTCCTGTGTTCAGTGTTGGTTCATTTTTTGTCGTTCATGTCCCCCTTCGTGTTGGTCACAGTCCCTTTTTGTTTTGGATGCTATCTCGTGCCTTGTACCTTTTCTTGGATTCTTGTTTTTTCAGCTTTTTGTGATTAAAGCTCGCCTTTTGTTCCATTTTGAAAGCATTTGGGTCCTATTTTTCCCCATCCCGTGACAATAACACGATGTGAGGCATCCTTTCTACACATTTTACTCATTTCATTTTCATCAAAATCCAGCATGTTTTATTTCATACTTGATGAGAAACACGTTTTAAAAACATGAAGAATATGTGATGTATTTTATTACCTTTGAATCACTGCAGTTCCTTTGCAAAAGTATGAATCTATTCCTGTCAACAGGCAATACTTATCATTAAATAAGCATGGCTTCATTTCTCTAGAGAATAAATGATACATGTTTATGGAAAGCATTATCAATGCTGTGTCTTTCCTACAGCAAAGGGAACCAAATAGGATTCATTGTTGTGCGAGTTGGAAGAAGCTTAAGCTGTCTGTGGCATGACGCCTTTGGTTTTATCACCTGGAACAGATCTTTTAATTTTGAAAGGCCAGACAGGGCCAATCCATAATGCACACTGGAGTGCTGAGGTCTATCTTTCCACTGCGATGAGAAAACCATTTATTGGCATGACAGCTGCTGACGCTCTATTTGTTTCTCCAGTTCTGGAGTTTCTGCTTTTATTCTGACAAACTCACCTTGTATCCCGTCACCTCAGACTCATTTTCCATCGCTTTCACATGTTCCCAATTCAGAAAGATCTTAGAGTTGCTCAGGTTCCACTCAATATTCCCCGGAGGCTGACTTGGAGCTACAAGATGTGTAATTATATAGACACAAGGTTCACAAATGAATGCACAAACCACAGTTGTAATCAGCTGGTGGTGCAGCCGCAGAATACATTTCAAACTAAACACTCGTTAACCTCCTGGAACTCAGCTGGGAGAAACAGAGGTCAAGACAAATAGGAAATGCATGCTCTTATTTATGTGTGCGAAAACACAGCTAATTAGGATCAAATGAATTGTTCAGCCTGAAGCAGCAAAAGTCTTACTGCGTCATAATCTTAGGAGTGAAGTGATCCTGATTTAGGAAGTATTACTGCTGTTATGTTGAAAAACATCAGACACATATAAATTATGAATCATGAAATCATTTGTTTTTCACTGTAATGTTCATACTGTATTAAAAAGTATACAAATGTAACCATTATTATTAGTATTCGCCTAAAAACATCCATAATATCATAATAGTCTGTTACACAATGTAATATATATAGTTTGCAGAGGAGATGACTCCCGGCAAGTACTTTAAATATACATTTAAAATACAATTATTTTCCTATAACTATACCCTCCATAATCACAGATAGTTGAGAGGACATTACCTCAATTGTATCTACCATCTACTCCATGGCCAAGTATAGACAGAAGTATTGAGTCTAGCAACCAATGAGTCCAAAATACATTCAGTATGGCATTGGAGTAAATGTATTTAAAAATACCTCTTACTGTGGAACGGGATTCGACTAAAAGGCTAAGCAAGAATAAAGACATAAAGCTTTTGTGGTTGGCCTCACGTGGTTTCTTGGTGGTGATGTTGAGAGCGCGGCTGCAGGGTCCGAGGCCGGCGCTGTTCTGGGCTCTGACTGCGATCTGATAGGCTGAGCTGCCCTTCAAGCCGGAGAGCAGAGCCGTGGTGTCAATAACCCTCGCTGCCTCCGCTTCACTCTGCTCAGACCCTTCCTCCCAGAAGAGAACCTTGACCAAAGATAGGAAGGTTACCAACGGACCTTCAGCATCTTTCACCCTTTTCCATTTTCCATTTATAAAACACAAGCCGGTACAAAATTGTTGAATCTGTGTCAAATCAAACCTTGTTTATTTAGCCAATTTCCTATTAAGAGACACGAATCTCGTAATCTATTGGCTGTCAATTATATGTTTTGGGGGCAACAGGCAATATTTTTGGGGTTCTGGTGTACACTCAGGCCAATATTCGGCCAATTTGTTTTCAGTCAAATCAGAATAGAGTTGTGATACGACGTCTACAATTGGATTGTTTCACAAGCAGCCATTTTACAAGCAATTTTGGGCGTTTTAAAAAGTGAAATCATTGTCTGACGATATAAGATTGATTTCAAGATTGTTCTTCAGACAATGTGTTCCTTCTGAATGTGATTGGTCATTACTGCTCTGACTACAAATGGGAAACTACCGCTACCAAATGACTGTGTTACATATAGAAGCAGACATTGTTCATAATGGCGAGATTAGGCTGTCGGAAACTGTCTTAAGGAATATGACAAGAAGACATTCTCTGCAAAGCTTATACAAGACTAATTTATTCAAACCAAAGACTTCTGGGGTTGTCTCAGTTAAGTCTTTTAATATGCTTAGCTAGTGTTTCAAGGACCAAAAACTTCCATACTATCAGCTCCTATGCTGTAATTCCTGAGGCAGTCAAACCTGCATTTTGAATGATACTGTATCTAACAATACCAAAAGCATGCACTGGGAGCAAGACATGATAAGGAGCCCTTTCAGAATCTGTATTCATAGGGAAATTATTTATGACCCTGACACGAGACAGGAAACCCAGACAGGAAAATGTCAAACAGATGGTCGGAGAGTAGGTGCTTATTCAATTGGCTGCACACAGGTTTTCAGCGATCTTGCTCGGGAAAGCAGATTAGCGACAGGGCCTGGAGTTGCTGATAACAGATGCATCTAGGGGATTTTTTCTAAAACCAGCAGTTTAATTAAAGCAGTTACACCATCGCTTGGGAAAATACCTGAGCAGAAGGAGTTTAGTCAACTTTGCTACGAATCTAAAAACACCGATAGAGGGATGAAAGAGAAGGAGACTTAAGCTGCATCTTAAAGTCTTATAGAGACTGTGGCAGGAAAGTGCATCATACGGTACCTCCAGTGTTTCAACAATACCAATGCTTGTGTGTATAGTAGAGATATTTAATTGTTATGTTCTTATATCAAGCTTGAATTTATATACACAATCCAGTGGAGATAATTTAGAGATTGGGTGACTTTGCCTACAGTACAGTGTCAAGTGTAGACTTCCAATGTTTTCAGTTGATGGCCTCTTATTATATTTCTCTGCATAGTAGAAAACATCTGAGATGAAGACAACAGAATGTGTTACGTCTAAAGATTGCTCCCAACTGAACCCCAAATTATCAATAGCAGCTGAAGCTACCAAAGAACATGCATAAAAATCCGCCTAATTATTTTGGAATTTCTTCCAGAAAGTGTGGGAAACAGGAGCTTTTCTGTTAATGACAGGAATGTTTGCTAAAGCCTTTGTCCAATCAGGAAAATACAGGAGCAAGAGTGTAATGAATTAAGTGGATACTGCTCTAATGAAAGCTGTTAGAAATTGGCTTACCTGGCCAACAAATACATCACAGTAGAAACCTAGTGGTACTTTTAACACCTATAATAAGCATCTCATTTGTTAAATAACTACATGTTGTGGTTTAGAGTCATGTAAGCGACTCGCCCTGCTCTGTGACATCCATTGATATAGGGAAGGTTACTGACTTGTGTATAACATGACACACTTTTAAAGAGTAAGTTGGATAAGTCAAAATGTAATACATCTATTTTCATTTTAGCCCAAAGTGGTTTGTTGGCTTAGAATAAGTAGTCTACGTTTCTTCTACAGATAAAAACGATGACCCTTGGTGTAAATTCACCGGCCATTTGGAGTAGTAATGTGGAAAGTTGGACATAACTGAGGTTTCAGGGCTTAGTGAAATGTAGGAAGTCATGCAGGGCTGTGCAGTAACATTAAAACCATTACTGTTACATTTTCAAACAGAGACAATGCTGGTGGGCAACTTACCAGGGACCCTTTTAGCCTGGCAGGTGGGAATTAGCTACCTAACATTGGCATATTTACAGAAATAGTGATAAATGTGTGTTGTCCTTTATGAAAATAAATGACAATGCATGGCCACATTTCATCCAATTAGTCTGGTACCTCTCCGAGGGGCGTTATCAACAGTGTGAAAATCAAGTACTATTCTAAGTATATAGCACCAGATCGTAACAGAAATAAATGAAAGCCAAATGTCATTATGGGAATGATTAGATTGTTATTTTTGCAGAGATGCAGTGTGAAAGTGTAACATTAATATGTCTGTCAATGCAAACAAAATAAATAGTTTAATACTGCTATCAATAGAAATGTACACATCAGCTTGGTTGAAAATGTCATCCTTCAAACACGCCACATAACATACAAACTTTTCTAATTAGCTCTTTCAAATGGAACTTGCTTGAAATCTCTCCAAATAGGAGGAGAACAACTCAAACATGACCTTTTGAGTTTATCTGAGAAAAATAATAGGTGGGTTTTTTTTGTTTGATAAATATTGTTTAGGCAAGGCAAGGCAAGTTTATTTATATAGCACCTTTCAACAGAAGGCAATTCAAGGTGCTTTACAAAAATGAAAGACATTCAGACAAAGGCATTTAAAAACACTCATTAAAAAGAAAATATGTTAAAAGAAACAATACATGAATAAAAAGTTACAGTGCAGTTTCAGAATAGTTCACACAGAAGTTCCACTTTACTGATGCCTTTCTTTAAGGTTTCTCCGAACATGAGCTGTGTACGCTTGTATGGCACATACGTTCCCGAGCAGCATACACAGAGAAAGCAGCCAGGACAAAGTCCCCAGACTCTGATTCCCTGGGGTTAACAGCCCCAAATGTTCATTAACCAAAAACGAAACACAACCTCTCAGTTTTCAATTAAAAGCGCGGCAAAAAGAAAAGTCTTCAGCCTGGATGTTAAAAGTGTTAAGAGTTGCAGCGGACCTGCAGGTTTCTGAGTTTGTTCCAGATATTTGGGGCATAATAACTGAACAAAAGACATTTTAAAAACAGTCATTAAAAAGCCAAGATAAAAAATAATAAACATTAAAAGAAAACAAAAATACATGAATAAAAAGTTACAGTGCAGTTAAGATATGAATAGTTCACACAGAAAGTTCCACTTTACTGATGCCTTTCTTTAAGGTTTCTCCGAATATGAGCTGTGTACGCTTGTATTGGACATACGTCCCGAGAAGCATACACAGATAAACACAGATAAAGTCTTCAGCCTGGATTTAAAAGTAGTAAGAGTTACTCTACAGTCCAATTATTACACAGCTTAGTCAAATACTTAATTCTTATTGTTCAATTTGGACATTCCAGAGGTTTTGACCGACTGACAGACCGTTGTGAAGGAGGATCAAGGGACTATGTGCAATCATATCAATCCGCAGGAAGAAGTCCGGTCAATTCGACGTCAGATGTGGACAACAAATATTTGTCTTCTCCGTCAGAAACACCATGGAATACCTGTTATATTTATGGGGAGCACGATACGTTGGATTCATGATGGCTAATCTCTCCCCGTAAAGAAAAGAAAAAGAGCGCAAGAGAAGGAAAGAGGCTAAAAGACAGAGCGATGGACGTCAGAGAAATCTACAGAAGAAGACAGGAAGTCAACAATAACGGGAAAACAGTATGGGCTCTGTCAGTGTTTAAAGTCTGGTTAATGAAAATGTGAAAAGACTTGGACAGTTACAGAAAACCCAGATCCGTCACTTCTGGTTACGTTGCTATCGTAAACAACTTGGACTATTGTTTTGTCTTGGTGGAAGCAATACGATGATTTTTTAAATCAATGGAAAAATGGTTTGATTAGTATTCTGAATCAGTCAATAGTTTATTTAGTAAGTTGCCAAACAAGAGCCCTCTCAAAAGTTAATCCTGCCATGTCCACGACTTTTGTAGTGGTGTTTAGTTCTAGACGCAAAAAGCCTCAATCGTGTGTGCTTCAAAGTGTTGAGAGGTTGAGTTTCCTGGAGTATTTTATGCTTTCTCAGTCTGTTGGAGCTGTACTTAGGTTCAAAGCCTTCAGTCAGTGAAGGGGTACTCTGAGCGCTCCTGCTATCTCTATTCATATATACAGAACAAGAACCAAAAGGTTGGGTGAAGTGGAACGTAAATTGTAGGGTGTGGTGTTGAGTCATCATCCTCTCAGCCAGTGGAGATGCATCTCTCACCACTTTCAAACAGTTGTTCCAATCAAAGCGGTATGTGACTGTTGTGTAATGGAAGCTTCGAATGAAGAACCAAGCGAATCTTGTCCAAACTGAACGTGTTTACTTTATATTAATTTAACAGTTTCCAACAAGAACGGTGGAAGACGGAGAAAATGCACTCGACATACTCTTATTCATTTCCAAATCCTTACAGGAAGGTGTAAGAGCAGGACACATACTAGCACTTCAAAATAAAAGCATTTCCTGTGACATTTTACCCGTAACTTCTCTCAAGAAGCAAATAAACAAATGTGTTTACTGCCCTAAAGGTGACCTATCATGCAAAATGCACCTTTGTACGTCTTTTATACATGAATATGTGTCCCCGGTGTTCCAGGGAACTCACCAAGTGTCAGAAAACACAACCCTCTCTATTTTCCTCTATACCCAAATCTCTTAAAAAGGGGCTGCAACGGATCTGATACAGACTGATCCAGATTTGAACACTTCTATGACGTCACAGAAGTGGCGCTATGGCTATTGGGCCAACTCCACCAATCAGGAGGAGACAGCCACGGACATTGCCGTTGGAAAGCGCTGGAGACGCTGTAGTACACATGCCAGGCCTGTAGATGGTGCCGTTCTCACAGAATCAGCCCATGCAAAGACAGTGTTAAATTCTTTTGTTCATCTCCTGCT